GGGGAGAGTCAATGGGGGAAAAGGAGACATATGTAATACTAAACAAAGGATTTTTAAAAAGTCTGCTGTTTAAGCCTCCTCGTCTTATATTTTGTGATGGAAGCTCGAGCAGATGAATATATAGGCACAGTGGGATGGTGAGGAGCAGACCTGGTCCCTGTCCTAGAACCTCAGAGCCTATCTTCTTCCCGGCTGCCAGCAGTCTTCACGAAACATGGCTCTGACAGCGTCTGTTCCCCAGGGGCTACAGTGAAAGCCGGAGCGCCCCCTTTTTTTGCATGGCTGGCGAACTGAGAATGGTTTGTCCATTCTTAAATGGTGGTTAAAAAACATCAATAGAAGAAGAATGTTTTGGACATATGAAAGTTGTATAAACTTCAAATGTCATTGTATAAATAAAGTTTTATTGGGACATAGCCATACCCGTTCCTTTCTGCATCATCCATGGCTGCTTTGTGCTACGATGGCAAAGTTGAGTAGTTGCGACTAAGCACATGGCCCACAGAGCTGAAAATATTTACCATCTGGCCCTTTACAGAGAAAGATTGCCAACCCCGGGCTATAGGACCAGGTGCAAGCCCTTACGTTGGGCATTCAGAGCTGCCGGCTGGCCCAGGGTGCTCTCCTGATCCCATTCCCCTGCCAGTGTTCTCTAGCGAAGCCATAGGCTGGTCATTTCCCGCTTCCACATCATTCTCCATTGCCCTCCCTCATACCCTTGGTCTTGTTGGTCCCTGTCTTAGGATGTCCTTCCCAATGTACCTGAGCAAAAGGTGCATTATCACCTCCCCCCACCCCGTTACCTGTCTGGGGTACCTTCACCCTTGCCCAACAGAAAGATGCTGCTCTCCCCTCTCATGGAGGGAGTTCCATCTGTCGTTCTCCGTGCACCCCCAGGGGCAAACAGCAGGCACATAACCACCTGCTGAATTAATGAACTCATGACAGAGTTGAGATCTTTGAGGTTCGGCAAAAATGTTCACTCTTCTTGCTCTGTGGGGCGACTCTGTGTCACCCAGGTGATGGGACTCCACGTTCTTCCTGTCGAGGTGGCCCAGCTTCGAAGAGAAACCTGAGCTTTCACGGGCTTCCCTCAGCTGCTTGTCAACTACATTAACAAGACCTTGCCCCTCTCTTTTAGGTTGCCTTCTGCAGGGGACCCCAGTACTCCTAGTGGCCCCAAGCCGAAAGGAAAGCAAACACAAGGTGAGTCAAGTTAGAATCTACCTAATGATCCCATGAAATAAAACGTGATTTTTTTTTCTAGTAAGTGTTTTTGGGGAATAAAAAAACAAAACAGCAGAGCAAGGGAGATACAGTTTTATCTTCTGTTCACATCTTGGGAGATTTCTAGTCTGGTCACCCAGCCCTGCCTGCACCCAGGGTTGTGGCAGGACCGGGTAGGGCTCATTTTGGGCTGTGCCCAGGACTTGTCACTTGGAAGTGTGGGTGAAGAGAGCTTGAGCTGAGTTCATTACCAAACATCAGAATTTCCTGTCTCTTCTCTGAAAGCATATCAGTCCTTTGGGGGTGCCCCATGCCCCATGTCCACCTGAGGGTTTGGGGTCATTGTGAACAGCCCCCTTGACTCTTGGCAGTGCCCAGTTGACTCTTGAGGATCTCCCATGTTGGAGCTGAAGCCTCTGAAATGAAATATTCTCTTAAAGTGTGCTCTGTGGTAGTGCGCATCTCAGAGAACTTAGAGCAGCATCTTGTCTATAACATCTATTTACATGCGGTCTGGTTCTTGAACACAAATTCTGTCCTTCACTGTAACATTGCCGCTGTGGAAAACCCACCACCGTTTAAAACAAACAGATGCATACCAGTTTTCTGGAAACTTGAAACTGCTTTCAATTGTCCAAGGAACCCAGAGCCTCAAGTTTTTTCCTGGCTGTGCAATACCCAACACAGGATGGCCATGCCTGCTTGGAACCAGGGGTGTCCTTTGCCCCAGTCCCTCATGTCCGGTGGCAGACACTGGGGTTGGCTTGGTTCTCTTCCTGGACCCCGCCTGACCCAGCCTTGACTCTAGGGACCTCCTTCCTGATGGCCTGAGCCCACTCGTGCTCTGAGCCCACAGGCACAGCTCTTCCCTGCCTGGAGCATGCTCAGGGTGACCACCGCCTCCACGGCCCGCACCAGGCTCCCTGTTAACTGGTGCACCTCCTTTCCTCTTGGGATGGCACTGCAACTGGAATTGCCAGTGGAAGATGCGAATTCTGGTGTGAAGTTCTGGTTTGAAATCAGTCTTGCTCCACCTAGCTGTTAAACTGTGTGATGTTGACTCACTCTCCCTGGGTCTCTTCAGTAGAAAGGGAGAGACTGAGCTCTACAGGCACCAAGAAAAAGTGCAGAATCATGCATTTGATCTTTGTTGAGCACCTACTCCCTGCAGGGTGGTGGAATATAGCAGCAAGCCAAACGGACACAGTCCCTGCGCTCAGGGAGCTGGTGGTCTGGGACACAGGCAGTGCACTGAGCGGAGAAGTAAGGAGACCCAGGGTTCAGAGGATGATAACAGATGCAGTGGGAAAAACAGCAGGAAGGGGGTAGCTTATGGGTCCAAAGGAAGTGCTGGGCTGAATAGAGTCGGGAAGGGGGGCCGGTGCAGGAGCAGCCCGTTGGCTGGGAACAGAGTGACTGAGGGGAGCGAGGAGGTGACTAAGTCAGAAGGACGCCCTGAGTCGTGCCAGGCTTGTAATGTGCCTAGAGGTGCTCAGGCTCCACCAGCTGGTGGGCCTGCCAGATAGCCTGTTGTCAGCCACCAGGGGCCAGATAGCCTGTCAGCCACCAGGGGCCAGCCAGCCTGGAGGCCACAGGAGGGTCAGGAGGAGGAGGCATGTGAGTGAGCACTGTGCCCAGTGCTGCTGGTGGCTCAGTATGAGGGTGGCTCGCTGAGAAGGGCTGATGGACTTTGGAACACGGAGGTCTTGATGGTCTTGCTGAAATGCGTTTCTTCTGTGGGGTGGTGGGGTGAGAGCCAGGTGTGTGTGGGGGGATTCAAGGGAAGAGGGAGGAGAAGAGAAAGCCAGCATTGTAAAGGGAAGCAGAGAAATGGAGGTGAGCCAAAGGGGTGGGTGCGGGGAGATTAACAGTGTGACCTGTGGGGAGGAGCAGGAGTGGTGTGGGGGTGAGGAAGAGAGGGGTTTCCGGGGCAGGTTTTTTCTTTTCTTAAATAATGTATGTATTTGTATTTATTTAATTTCAGAGAGGAAGGGAGAGAGAGAGAAACATCGATGATGAGAGAGAATCATTGATCGGCTGTCTCCTGCACGCCCACACTGGGGATCAAGCCTGCAACCTGAGCATGTGCCCTGGCCGGGAATCGACCGGTTTGTAGGTCGATGCTCAATCACTGAGCCACACCGGCCAGGCTCCGGGGCAGTTTCTTTACGGGGTGGGGCTTGGCTCTGACAACAAGAGTGGGGGTTCTCTTTACCCAGGAGCAGAGGTCCATCCACATGGGGTCAGGATGCTGCTCTGAGGTTTGGAGGGCAGGTGGGTTTCCTCCATCCTTGTTCAATGCCCCAGGGGCAGGAATGGAAGGAGACCTGCGCTGGACTGTCACAGGGATGTGCTGTGTCTGAGAAAGGGCCTTGATGTGAGTGTGTCCAGGGGGTTGGTCCTGAGCTAGGAGAGGTGGGGTGAGGGTATGTGAAAGGTGGTACCAGGAGTAGGTCAGAGGAAGTGGGGGAAGCGGTGTTTGGGGTCATGAACACAGGGAGTGAGCTGGGGAGAGTGGAGGAGGCAGCAAACAGATGGCCATCTGTGGTAGGTCTGTCTTCCTTTACCTGCCCCACCCCTGAGTCCCCTTTCTGCTCCTGTGGATCTCTGGCTTTGCCCAGAGCCCTGGGACTTGTACACAGTAGGTGTCTCATACATGTTTTCACACACAGTAGGTTCCCATAAATGTTCTTACATATAATAGGTGTCCCATACATACTTGAGGGTACTGAAGGGCAGGCTCTGAGAGGAGCAAGGGGGATCAGCTCCCCCATTCCTGCTGTTGAGCAGGGAGGGCCAATAGCACCTGGCTCTGGGGGAGGTGGTGTGGTCCTCGGTGCGGGCGGGTCTGCACACACCGCTATTGTAGTTTTGTTATAAACCAACAGTGTGTTCCCCACAGGTGGAAAAATGGTCGAATCCCGATACCTGCAGTATGAGAAGAAACCCACTAAAAAGGTAACACACAACGTTTGAAACAGTTCGGAAGGGAGTTCTAAAGAACTTAGGATTCTGACACAAGTTACCCGAGCCAGGCACCGCCTGGTTCCGAAGGCAGAGTTTTGGGGACTTTGCCTAGTTGCCTTGTTGCCTTTGAAGTCATCGTGTCCTTCCTGCAGAGACCCGTGTGTCTGTCGTGAGTGGCCAGTCTCTTTGAGAATCCCTCTGTTGAAACCTAAAATTGTTCTGCTTTTCAACCCCATCATTTCTTTTCTGGATTCTGTCCTGGAAGCAGTTCTGGCGAGCAGTTCTGGCACGGTCCCTGGCCTTAGCTGGTATTTAAAAAAATACCTGCAGGGCTATAGGAATGACTGGGGAAAATGACGTACCTGAAACACTAGTAGTAGAGAGAGTTTCGTGAACTACCTGTAGTCACACCATGAAAATTATGAAACCATTTAAATGACAGCATGAAACACTTAACAACATGAGAGCATACTTTGTATGATGTTTAATAAAAGCTAGCACCATGGCCCAACCAGTGTGGCTCAGTGGTTGAACGTCAACCTATGAACCAGGAGGTCACGGCTCGATTCCCAGTCAGGGCACATTTCCGGGTTGTGGGCTCGATCCCCAGTGAGGGGCATGCAGGAGGCAGCCAATCAATGATTCTCTTTCATGATTGATGTTTCTATCCCTCTCTTCTCTTCTCTGAAGTCAATAAAAATATATTTAAAATAAACAAACAAACAAAAAAACCAATCAGTATGTTACCCAATTATATATTTGTTTCAGTGTGTACCTACTGAGAATGTGTTGAGGTGAAGGTCATGTTATCCCCAAATAATTGTTTCTGGTAAAAATTAGTTACATATTCATTTCCACTCTTAAAATCTGGATAGAGTGGGTGGTGGGTTCTTAAAAATGTGACCTAAAATACAGCTTGAAGAAAAAGGATAGTTTTATATAAACTATTTGATATGCTTCTTGGAGTGGTTTTTTAAAATGGACTTAAAAAAAGTTTATTGGGATGGCATTGGTTAATAGGATCATATGGGTTTCAAGTGTACAGTTCTATGATACAAGATCTGTATATTGCATTGTGTGCCCAGCACTCAAAGTCAAACCATCTTCCATCACCATATATGTATTTGGTCCTTTTACCCCCTCCCCACCCCTTCCCTCTGGTGATGACTGTTGTCTGTGCCTGTGAATTTTATATTTCATATATGAGTGAAATCATATGGTTCTTAGCTTTTTATGACTGACTTATTTTGCTTAGCATAATATCCTCAGGGTCTATCCATATTGTCGCGAATGGCAGTATTTCATCTCTTCTTATGGTTGAGTAGTATTTCATTGTGTATATTTACCAGGTCTTCTTTGGACTTTATTTTTAGAGCAGTTTTAGGTTAATAGCAAAATTGAGCAGAAGGTACCTCCCCACCCCATTCATGTGTAGCCTCCCCCACAGTCAACATCCTGTACCAGCGTGGTGCGTATTTACAATTGGTGAGCCTACGTTGACACATCGTCACCCAGAATCTGTAGTTTACAGTGTTGAAGTGATACTCAACAAAGGATCACAGTCCACACGTCATAATTTTAATGTTGCCTTGCAAACGTGGTTACAGCGCCCCCGTGTGTCTACTTGCTGCATGTAGTAGTCTATTTTATCTTACCTTATTTTATGTTATGTTATTTTATTTTTTGTTAATCCTCACCTGGGGATTTTTCCCCATTGATTTTTGTAAGTTTTGAAGATTAATACCTGTACAAAAACTTGGTTTTTCCTGATGACCAAAGTAATATAGTCTGTCTATAAAACTGGCAAATACTAAAAGTATACAGAAAATCAGTCATCTGTAATCTGCCGTGTCAGAGATAGTCACTGGCAAAAATTGTGGTGGTTTCCTATGTTCTGTGTACGTGAGGGTACCCTTTTTGACAAAAGTAGCTTGACCTGCATGTATGTAATTAAATGTCAGAACTCCTTAAGCCTGTCCTTTGCCTCAAAGTATGAGCAGATGCCAACCTTGCAGACGTGAAGGGCCCCTTCTCGTGAAGAGAAAGTATTGTGCGCCCTGAGTGTCATGTGTTCCCAACAGGCTCCTGCAGCAGATGTTTTAAAGACCAGCGGGAAGATCCCTGAAGGCGGAAGGAAACCCAGCTCCCTCCAGAAGAGCAAAGGTGTGTAACGATGTGGGGAGGGCATAAGTCAGCCGTGGAGCTAGCAAGTGTTGAGTGTGGTGGTGAATTATGTTTTTAAGTTAAAAGTCCCTCTTTTCTTTCTTGGAAGCATCAGACGAAAGAGCTGGGCAAAGTGTAAGGACAGATTAGGGGCATGTGGGGAGCTGAAAGGGGGTGGCGGGGGAGTGGGGGGGGTCTCTTCCTTCCTGTGTGACCCCAGAGAGGAGCCCAGTTGCCATTATGGCTCTTCCTTGTGGCACCAGTTCCTTAACCCAGTGACTGTTTTCGCCAGAGCTCCATGACCAGGACCAGAAAAGGTGCGAGGCCTCATCCTGCCTCTCACTGCCTTGGGTCGCGTCTTCCTTGTAATGGTCTCCTTATGTTTTTCATCTAAAAGCTGTCACCAAAGTGACATGAAAAGCTTTCAGTTTTTCTGATTATAGAAGTGGCATGTGTTCATTGTTTAAAAAATGGAAAATGTAGATGAGGAGGGAAAGTTCCCTCACAGTCTGCCAATCTGACCATCACTGTCGGTGGATTTGGTGTTCCGTTCTAGGCAGTGTGTTCACCTAGAAGTCAGAGGGCCCCTCCCACCGTAGCAGTTTGTCCAGTGCCTCACGTGCCCACCTCTACAGCACATTGGGCAGCTCTTCTGCATGAGAGCAATTCACAAAGGGCAGAACTCTTCCTTGGTCCTCACCTCTGTTCAAAAAGGTGGCAGCTTTGAGTTCTCCTACAACTAAGATTTTCAACTTTATTGTTCAGATCAAGGGTCAGCAAACCTTTTCTGGGCCAAATGGTTAATATTTTAGTCTTTGCAGGACAGACACTCTCTGTCACAAAGACTTCACTGCCATTTGCAGCATGAAAGCAGCCACAGACCATACATACATGAATGAATATGTCTGTGTCCCAATAAAACTTTTTTAAAAAATATATTTTTATTGATTTCTGAGAGGAAGGGAGAGGGGGAGAGAGAGAGAGAGAGAGAAACATCAATAATGAGAAAAAAAATCATTGATTGGCTGCCTCCTGCACGCCTCCTACTGGGGATTGAGCCCACAACCTGGGCACATGCCCTTGACCGGAATCGAACCTGAGACCCTCCAGTCTGCAAGCCAACGCTCTATCCACTGGGCCAAACCAGCCAGGGCCCAATAAAACTTGTAACAAACACAGGAAGTGGACTGGGTTTGGCCTGCAAGCTGTAAGTGTGCTGATACTAGGTTAGATGTTTGTCAGAATTTGCACTGTTCCTTGACGCAGGCATGACTGAGAAGCAGGCATCATCTTGTAGTGTTTTCTTGTGCAGTTAGTTGAGCGCCCTGCATGAAGCTGAGAAACAGCATGGCCTGAGGGCCCCAAACGGGGCCTCCCACATTTTAAAGTCAGGGTTCTCAGCTGGGGCAATTCTGACCCCAGGGGACACTGGACAATGTCCGGGGTTGTTGCAGAAGAAGGCGGTGTGATGGGTGGTGGCCCAGGAGCTGTTCAACACCTGGGGGTACACAGGACAGCACACAGCAAAGAATTACCCAGCCCCAAATGTCAGCAGTGCCAAGGCTGAGAAACCAGAATTCAAGCGTAGCCATGGTGTAGAAGGACTGTTTTTTGAGTTCAATCATATGGATTTATAGGAAATTACATTTTCTAATGGAAATACTGTACATGAAGATGACAACATTTAACCTGTGCAAAAACCATAGCAATAAAAAGTCATTCTTTTCCACGTCAGGTTCCAGCAGGCAGCTGCTCTTAATAGGTTTTTGTCTGTCTAGAATTTTTTAAAAATTTTAACACAAACGGTACCTTGCCCGTTTTGCCCTACACATTATTGTGACTTTGCTTTTTTAATTTCCTCGTATTTATTTTCTGAGCTGCACAGTTGCTCATGAACTTGTTTTCTCTTTTAGTTCCTGACGTGACAGTGTGTATCTGACATACCGCTGCTTGTTTTGCAGCACTCTGGGGGCCTTGCTGAATTAACGCATGCGGTGCCCCACTGCCCGTTTCAGATGGTGGAAGGCATAACTGCACAGTTTTAAATAGAGGCTAAAAGATGAAGGGGTCTCCTGGGAAGGTGAACACTCCAGAAGCTGCTGGAGAAAGAAGGAGAAAGAGCTGAGGGCAGAACAAATACATGGCATGTATTAGGCTCATACTGTGCACACAGCAGCTTTTATTAAACTAAGTAGAAAGACTTGCATCTTTGGGTTTTACAGAATGCCTCCCTCGTCTAGTTCTTTAAAATATATTCAAGTTGATGGCTGGGAATTTCCAAAGGTTTTCTGCCTTCTCTACTACCTAGCAAGAAGCTTAGTTTTAGAAGCAAGTGGTATTGTCCAGAAGGTTGTCTGCTTCCTGGCCTGGGTGTAGAGCCTCTTAGGGACTGTGTTGACTTTGAGGGATTCTCATTGAGCCCACAGAAAGCAGTGGGATCTTCGACAAAGGCGACCTGCAGTCCACGTTGCTGGAAGGACACGGCACCGCCCCGCCGCACCTGGATCTCTCAGCCATCAATGGTAAACTGTTCATTTCACCCCTTATGTTCCCAGCTGGGGGTGGCAGTGCATCTTAGCAAGCTGCCAAAGGATGCTCTTCTCACCTTAAAAATGCTTTCCTTGATCTTAGACAAGAGTATGCTCAGAAAGACTCCACAATTAGAAAAAAAAGTCTCAAAGAAAACCGAGTCGACATCATTTTCTGCCTCACAGGAAAAGGACCCAGTAAGTGTATGAAAAGAGAGGGAAGTGCTAATGGATCGGATAAATCTGGTTTAGCTCCTGCCCTGGGCCAGGTGCTGTGGGAAACCTGGGGCTCCAGGAACATGCCTTTTAGGACAAAAGCCAACACACAGTCTTTTTTTTCTTTTTAATTAAAAAAAATATATATTTTATTGATTTTTTTACAGAGAGGAAGGGAGGGGGAATAGAGAGTTAGAAACATCGATCAGCTGCCTCCTGCACACCCCCTACTGGGGATGTGCCCACAACCAAGGTACATACACCAAGGTACATGCCCTTGACCGGAATCGAATCTGGGACACTTCAGTCTGCAGGCCGATGCTCTATCCACTGAGCCAAGCCAACACACATTCTTAGGTCGTTTAAAGAGTTTGTTTCTACAAGAACACATACAGGAGTAGATACAAATGCGGGATCATGGGAAGAATGAGATTGGGACCTTGTTTGCGGTGCCATGCTAGGGAAGGTGCGAGGCCGGACCCCGTCCCAGGCCAGGAAGAGGTCCAGGCTGTGGTCTCACTGGGGTGGGAGGTCTGAGTCCTGGTTCCAGAGTGGTGCTGAGTGAGAGGGGCAGACCATCCTCTTTCTTGTCACAGAAACAGCAGGTGGTTATGCAGTAACGAATTATCGCATCACAGAACGAAATAAATAAAGTGCGTGTGGATCAGCGTTCTTTCCCTCCCGGGGAGAAAGCTGGATATGTACCAGTTCATTGGGGACCCAGAGTATCTTTTCTTTCTCCTTAAGGATCTCTCCGAATTGATGGAATCCCAAACATTACTCCTGACTCTACTGACCGTGAAGGTGAAAATGGAACCGCATTATGCGTGACCTGGGTGGAAGGGCAGCCTCTGTCAGCCGAGAGCTGGAGTCCCCTCCGGCCTGAGCTCTTGTTCTACACCTAACAGATGGAGAACAGCCTCGCAGCATTTGAAGAAGAGGCAGAAAGGAATTTAGTAACGATGTGCCAAGAGAAGAAGCAGCTCCTGAAAAAGGCCCACGAGCTAAAGCGCAGACTTCTCCTCTGTCAGAAGAAGCGGGAGCTGGTGGATGTCCTCAACCCCCAGGTCAGCTGTGGCAGGGTCCCTGAGCCGTGTGTCCCCACTGGTCATCGCGATGTCTGGAGGGATTATGTACAGTGGCTGTCACTCCTGGCCTGGCTCTAAGTTTGGGCTTGGCTTTTGACACCAGCGGGTATTGATATGTAACTGTTAATAAGAGCATGTGCCCATAAGGTTAGGTGCCAGCCTGCAGAGGGACCTGTCCTTTCGGCACATGCATATCCTTCAGGCGCCCACAGCTGTGCCCAGTGACAGGAAGACATGCTTCAGGCCTGCCCAGGGGGCCAGGGTGCAGGTGGGAGGCACAGTCTTGGCGCCATGTGGTCAGTGCTGGGACACAGTCGTCCACGCCAAGGAAGATCATGGAGCAAACCCTTGGAAACGAAGGGCTGGTCAGGGGCGTAGCTCCTCATTCAGTGTATGCATGTCCTGGGGCTGCCGTGACGAAGTCCCACAGACTGGGCAGCTTCAACAGCGGACACTTATTCTTTCTCAGTCTGGAGGCTGGAGTCCGAGATCAAGGCGTCGGCAGAGTTTGCTCCTTCCAAGGGCTGTGAGGGAAGGATGTGTCTTGGGTCTCTGCTTGGCCTGGAGGCTGTCTTCTCCCAGTCTCTTAACTTGGTGTCCCCCCGTGTGCGTGTTTGTCTCCAGTTCTCTGCCTTTTACGAGGACAGTGCCCACTGACTCAGTTCCCTCTGTAAGGCCCTGTCTCCAAATCAGGTCACATCCTGAGGGGTTGGTGGTTTGGATGTCAACCGAGGAATTACGGGGTTCAGCCTGTGACACCCAGTGGTGCACGTGTTCGTGCATGTGCCCAGGCTGTGGGCTGAGAAACGAGTGGAAGGGGAAAAAAAGACAATGAATTCTTACAGTGCCCTGTGATAGCGTGTATGAGGGAAAGGGGAGTTGGTGAGGATGGCCTTGAGGGGGGGCAGGCGTTTCAGCTCAGTGCTCCAAAGCAGGAGGGCACAGCCTTCCTGGGTCCCCTGTGATCCCCATGGAGGGCTGGCCCTGGAATGCGCTGGCAGGTGGATGCATGTTTATGGCAAGGAGTGTGGCCAGGAGTGAGGGGAGAGCCCACCCACCTGCTGAACCTCCTGGAGGATCCCTAGATCCCGAAAGAACAGCCTGTGTCTTACCCTCACATGTGCCAAGTGTGAAACTTCCGGGGCGGTGACTGCCGGTCTCGTCTCATCGGCCCCTCTCCCTCCTGCTGCAGATTGAGATGCTCAGCCCCTACGCGGCTGTGTCTGAAAGCTTCAAGGAGCAGTACAAGGCACTCGCAAAGGCCCTGGACACCACGAGGCATGAGCTGCCTGTGAGATCAGTTCACCTGGACGGAGGCGCGCAGAAGTTCTTAGGTAGGACGGGCATCTGCTGGGCAAGGAACGGGAAGAACTACCAGCGGGTTTGGCACTTCCTGTGTGCCGCACCTTTATTCCTTCATGGCATCCTCACAAGCCTCATGTTAGGTAGATGGCATGTCCCCCTTCACATGGCACAGGATGTAGGGTGCTGGCAAGACTGGTTTGTCCAGGGTGGCACCCCAAGAAAGCCATGCTGGGATTGGAACCCAGGCCTGTGGTTTCCTTGTTGATTTCCTACCCCTACTGAAAGGCATTCTTGGGGAGCGGCCTGCAACCCCACAGACTTGAGAGAGGGGCTCTACTAAGGTGCATTGTTGATGGGGCGGTGATAGGGCTGCAGACCCCCACCCTCCGCCTTCTATACAGAGCCAAGGGGTCCCTTTCCTGCAGAGGGGTCCCATCTAGTCCTTCACCTAAAGAAATGGGCAGGTGTGAAGTGCTGTGCTTGATCTTAAAATTCTCTTTAGAACAGCTGTCTTCCCAAAGCAGGTTTTCAGCTGCCCTGGAGTTTGGTTATTTCTAAGCAGAGCTCTCATGAGCCTCTAAATATGTTTTGCTGATGTAGTAAAACATCGCCACCTAAAACCAGGCGGACTTTCCCTGCAGAACTTTGCACAAAGGCAGTTCAGGATCCCAAAGGGTGTAGCTGTATTGGCAGCTTCAGACAGAGACTTAAAATTTTTTTTAAAAAGCTTTATTGATATATAACTCAGGTACATACAATTTGCCCATTTAAAGTGTACAATTCCTTGTTTTTAATATATTCATAGGGATGTACAACTATAACTATACTCTAATTTTAGGATATTTTTGTTTCCCCCAAAAGAAACTCAGTATCTATTAGCTGTCACTTCCCATCGCTGCTTATCTCCCAGCCCTAAGCAATGACTGATTAACTTCCAGAGAAAGATGGTTTTTAATAAAATCAAGCCTTTTCTAATGTGAAGTAGTATATATCTGCCATGGGATCTTGAAAAGTGAGCCTGTTGAATGACTGTCTGTGTCTGGGTTTCCTGTTGTGTGGTTGTTGCAGTCAGTGGCACATCTGTGACTCTTGGACTCCGTTTCAGAAAAGCTCCTTAGATAATTGCTAGGAGTTGGGATTAGGGAGGGTATGAGTTGTTTGTGGCTGCTGTAACAAAGGCCCACAAACCGGGTAGCTTAAAACAAGAGAAACGTATTCCCCCTCAGTTCAAGGGGCCAGAAGTCCAGAATCAAGGTGTGGGCATGGTTGGTTCTTTCTGGAGGCGCTGAGGGAGAACCCATTCCAGGCTTCTCTCCCAGCTGCTTCCTTGGCTGCTGGCAGCGTCACTCCAGTCTCTGCCCCCATCTTCTCACTGCCTTGCCCCTTGAGTGCCTCCGTATCTGAATTTCACTCTTCTTAGAAGGGCCCCAGTTATTGGAATGGGCCCTACCCTATGACCTCGTTCTAACTCAGTTACATTTCCAGTAAGGTCATATTCAGACACTTGAGAATAGTACCTGAACATGTCTTTTTGGGAGGACACAATTTAGACCACATTGGGGGAAAAGACGTGTGTTTGTAAGAACCCTTATAAGGTTCCAAAATGTTAAAATGTTTGGTTGTGATGTGTGTACACGTGTAGCTTATAGATGGGAAATGTGCCAGGATTGGAGAGATGCTGGTGTCCCTAGAGCAGGTGGGACACAGCGCAGTTGTAGGCAATACTTTCCTGGGGCGGGAGGTACTGTATCGAAGGGAACCATGGGATTTTTTTAAGTTACTCACAGGACAGCCTTTCCCCACTTTTTGCATTCGTTTCTGTTGGGGGTGCTGGAGTGGCATTCCAGGTCTGTTCCAATGACCGCCTGGACAGTGGACACGCCTGACCCATGGTCTCAGGCAAAGGGGCACAGAGATGGTACCAGTGCACAGATGTCGTCCTTCATGACCCTCTCAGCCTTTGAGCCTTCGTAACAGGAGAGCGTTCTGATGAAATGAGAACAATCTAGCCACCACCTCGCTCACGCATGGTTTGCTTGGGGCACCGTGAAGCCCGTGGCTGATGCCCTCTCCCCACCCTCCTCAGATGATTTGCAGCGGGAACTGACGACCACACACCATCTGTTGGGAGAACTTGGGGTCTGCAGTTCAGAAGAAAACGGGAAAGTGCTAGATCTGCTGGGTGAACTGAAGGAAATGACCCAGAAGAAGGATCTGGAGCTCCGAAGGTATTTCAGAAAATATTTTAAGAAAAAGCACCCTGGCCGGTGTGGCTCAGTTGGAGCACTGTCCTGTACACCAAAAGGTTTCGGGTTGGTGCCCATTTGGGGTGCACACCAATCAATGTTCTCTCTCACATCAGTGTTTCTCTCTCTAAAATCAATAAGCATATCCTCAGTGAGGAGTAAAAAGGGGCAGGGAGAGACTGGCCAATGTGGCTTATTTGGTTGAGCATCGTCCCATGCACCTAAAGGTTGCTGTTCGATTCCTGGTCAGGGCACATGCCCAGGTTTGTAGGCTTAATCCCCAATAGGGGGCGTGCAGGAGGCCGCCAATTGATGTTTCTCTTCCTCTCCTTTCCTCTCTCTAAAATCAGTAAAAACATATCTTAAGAAAAAGGTAGCATATACATAAATATATACATACATACATACATATACATACATACATATATATATATATATATATATATAATTACATAAGATTACTTTTAAAAAAAGAAGAAAAATAGCCTCCCATCAGACAGAGATGTGCCATTGCAGGCTGCCCTGTGCAGAGAGTGGGCAGCCCTGGCATGGCAGTGTCCAGCAAGGCAGGGAGAAGGGAGGGGGTAAAAGCCTTCAGCCCACCAGAAACCCCAAGTGGTTCCCCAACAGCCAAAATAGAAAGGGCAATGGCATCACCCCTCATTCACTCCTCGGGACCACACAGCACTGCGGGCGCCTTGGATCGGGCTGTTCATGTTTTAAATGTTTTCCAGGGTCAGAGCCTGGGGGGATCTTTTTGGAACTTCTTACTGGAGTATAAGTACATAGAGAAAAGGCGCAGACTGTAGTGGTACAACTGGATGGGTTTCCCAGCGTGTGCCCACGTGGAACCAGCCCTAGGCCAGCCCCCCGTAATCACCCCGATTTTCTTCTCTCGCTCCAGGGGATTTCTAACCATGGGGTTTCTTCCACGTGTTCCAGAAAGAATCTTGTTTTCTTCTCCTTGACAATGCTAAACATACTTCCTGAGATGACTAAAATATTTGAAAGGCGATGATGGAAATCAAATGCCACCCGCTGTGGAGTTAGCGTCTTCTGGCCCCAGGATGAAATCGGGATACACCAGAGCGTTCTGGATTGCAAAGGTCACAGGCTTGAGTGGTTAAACAGGCTCATTTAACACCTGTGTCCCCACCACCATGTACTTCGAGGGCGGGCTGGGATATGCCCCATTCACAGTTCTTTTTAAAAACACATATTTTTATTGATTTCAGAAAGGAAGCGAGAGGGAGAGATAGAAACATCAATGATGAGAGAGAATCATTGGTCAGCTGCCTCCTGCACACCCCCTACTGGGGATCGAGCCTACAACCTGGGCATGTGCCCTGACTGGAATCGAACCGTGACCTCTTGGTTCATAGGTTAATGCTCAACCACTGAGCCACACTTGTTTCTTGAACAAATGAATCTTTCCTTTCATGCCTGCCTGGCCCTGTTCTTGGGGGCTTCCCTGTTTGAGTTCTGTTCAGACAGCTTGCTGACCCGCGCTTTCCCACGTGCTCGGGAAGAATCTGCCTGGACCCGCTGCCTCTGCGCTGCCACCTTGGTGAAGGCAGAGGCGCCTTGGCTCCTTCCGGCCCTCGGGCGCGGGGTGGGGGGCGGCCGGGGGCAGAAAGCATCATCCCTTCCGTTATTCCCGCAGGAGCTTTGCGCAGGTGCAGGAACTCTCTGCTGGAGTGAGTAAGGAGGCAGCCTTAATCAACCAGGAGGTCTGGGAAGAGGCCCAGGGCCCGGTGGCCCCCCGCCAGTGGTATTTCAATGAGGAGGACACTCGAGGGGACACTTGGGGAGAGGCCAGCAGCCCGCTCCTCTCAGGCTGACAAGCCCTGCGCACGGTGAATCCACACGCAGGCCGTGACCCTAGCCCAAGTGGGGCCTCTGCAAACCCTCGGGAGGAAGGCTCTGTCCAGGGCGCCTCTGTGCCAGGGCACCGGTGAGGTGTTCCGGAAACTCACGCACTTTAGTCACTTAGCTCAGCACTACAGCTGGTTTTGTGTGATAATCTTGTTCTATATTGAGAAATAAAGTGTTTGGCAGTTGAGTTTGGTTTCTATGTAAGGGGAAGCAGGAGAGACACTTAGTATCTCACTCTCAAGGTGATTCCTTCCTCCAGTCACGGGGCTGTTCTGTCTAATGTCCGAAGCAAGTGAGGAGTTGGTCCTCAACTGGAAATTCGCATCCAGTCCAATGTCCCAGCAGCGGTCGCTGGAGCACCTGCGGGCTTTGCCGTTGCTCCAGCCTACACTCCACACAGGACTGTGCCACAGAGAATTTCCCTCCCCAGCTCGTCGGCTCCCGTCTGCACCACGTGGGCTCCGGCAGGCCTGCTGGTTCCCGTGGACATGGCTGCTGCGGTGCAACACCGGGAGGGGTGGTGCTCTGGGGGTGCCCGTGGACATGGCTGCTGCGGTGCAACACCGGGAGGGGTGGTGCTCTGGGGGTTCCGTGGACATGGCTGCTGCGGGACGACACGGGAGGGGTGGTGCTCTGGGGGTTCCGTGGACATGGCTGCTGTGGGATGACACGGGAGGGGTGGTGTTCCAGGTGAGATGCGGTATCCATCCCCGCCCTGCATTCTGGGAAGAGAGATGTGTCTTGATCTAACACATGTTCAACAGGCACACTTTCACCTTCACACACCCCGCCTCCACCCCGACCCCTTACAGTCCTGACCTGCTTCCTATCAGGTTGGGAGCTATAATTGCACGTCGGGAAGCAGTCCCCAGTCAGACGTAGTTACCATTCCCACAACCATGCAGGTCAAGGGGACACAGGCTCTCCCACAGGTGGGTTAAACCTTCCAGTTTCCATCCACACACCGACCCTTTCATTCCCATGTTTCCAAGGCCATGACATCCTCATTAGGGATCCCCCATGGAGCTCCTGTATCCGAGTCCCAGAAACGTCATCCCCTGGCCCGTTCCCCCCATTTGTGTGCAAAAGCTTTGGGTCCATAGCCAGGGACAGACACCCCAGGAACCCCGGTCCTTCCGTTAGTCTTAATGAACCAGATTAGTACCACATTCTCATTAGAATCTCTGCCTTCTAGTTTTTAGAATTTCCCTAAACCGAGGTAAAAACTGCAGCTTGTTTGGGGTCCTTCAGTGTTCAGGGACTTGCAGGGGGTCGCCTGCCTCACTCACACCCAAAGTGCTGGATGCAGACCTTTTCCACCCTGTCCAGTGGTCACTGGCGTGCTGCGTGCTTCAGTTCGGCAGGGGCTCCAGAGTGCTGCGGAGTGAGCGATGGTGATGGTGGGTCAGATACACGCGGCTGTGCTGGGAACTAAAAACTATTTAAGGAACAATTTATATGAATCATGTGGAAAGATTGCCAAGATTTTTAAAAAATGAAAGTAGGTCAAAATATGTGGGGCACAGAGCAATTTGTGTTAAAAGTAAAAACCTAGAAAGATAATGTCTCTCGGGGGGTGGTGGTCGGGGCTGGGGACCCTGAGGTGGGCGGGACGCTTGTTATTGTTGCATTTCGCATTCCTTTAACATTTCGGTTAAAAGTTTTCTCATCTGTGTGTATGATATCTTCATTAAGAAATCCATACAACGGAACTTGAGCGAGCAGGCTTTCTAAACGATCGTGCTCATGTTTACATTACGGTGTCCGCCTTGGGCTGTTGATTTTTAGAGTCAGATCGCTCTGTGCGGGGGGCGGGGGGGGGCCTCCTGTGCATTGAGGGGTGTGGAGCTGCATCCCTGGCCTTCACCCACCAGATGCCAGCAGCACTCGCCCATCCCAAAACGTGTCCAGACCTTGCCCAGTGACCTGGGTGTTAGAATTGACCCCCGTGGGAGAACCTCTGATGCTTCAGGCCCAGTCTTCCCCCTGCCCCAGCCAACACCATCTTTCTCAGCTTCATTCATTGACCTCAACCCAACTTTTGAAGAAAAGACTGGAATGCAGCTCTGTGTGGCTGCTTTTCAACTATGCCTGGGCTGAAAATTAGCACAGATTCTGAAAAAGAGATAAACCAGGGTTGGCAAACCGTAGACCTCAAGCCAAATCCAGCCTGTTTCCTCTGTGTGTGTAAATAAAGTTTTATTGGCACATAGCTGCACCCATTCATGTACATGTGTCTGTGACTGCTTTCATGCTGCAAGTGGCGGAGTTGCGTCTTTGGAGATCATCTGTTTTGCAAAGCCTAAAATCCTTACCGTCCGGCCCAGAAGAGGTTTGCTAGCCCTTGATCTGAACAAGAAAGTAGGAAGTCTAACTTGTGAAAGGACATATTTAATATTTTCCTACAGGACTCAAAGCTGTCACCATCTTGAATAAGCGGGTGTGGGCTGAGAAGCAGTTCTGCTTTTTGTGAATTGCTCTCATGCGAAAGAAGACTCGCCTACTCTTGCTGGAGAGGTGGGCACGTGAGGCACTGGGCGAAGTGCTCCACTGGAAGGCAGCCTTCAGAGCCTTCTAGAATGAGCACACTGGCTGGAACTGAGCACCAAAACGGCAGCAGCAATGGCTGGCGGGCCAGACGAGGGAGCTTCCCCTTCCTGGTCTACATTTTCCTCTTTCTTTTTTTTTTTTTGGAAAATGTTTATAAGAGTTAATTTGAGCCCAACTGTCCACATGTGCCAGGGTGCAAGATCTCGAATATTTCCTACTTTCCATTTTTTTGTACTGAACGAATGTCACATCCAGAATCCGAAAAACTACAGTTTTCAGTCAGTTTGGTGACAGCTTCTAGAAGGAGGGCTTGGGGGAGGCCATCACAGGAGACAGGAGATGAGAAAACGCAACCAGGATGGTGCTCAGATCCTCCCTGAGTCGGTAGGGAAACTGTTAAAGCCAAGAACTGATGTCCAAAGGCAGTGCCATCACAGTGACACAGCTCTGGGGCCCGGGAGGAAGGAAGTGACCTGCTCTGTGTGGGGAAGTTGTAACCTCCCACTTCCCCACTGTCCTCCCTCACACCCCACGCACCCCAAATCTGCCATCACACCAAAACTCCTTACCAGCAACTCGGATTCTCCCAGTAAGGAGGGGTTGTAACACATACCTGAAACGGTTTACCGCCGCATCATCACTTCCAGGACCGGCTGTTTCACCTCCCCCTCTGTGGTTACACACCTTTGCAGTTCACTCCAAGGCACACACCCAAAAGAGTTGAAAACAGGCTATCTTAGTCTGTCCGGGCGGCTATAACGGAATACCAGACTGGGGGGCCTGCAAGTAGTAGAAACGTATCTTTCGTGGTTCTGGAGGCTGGAAGTCCAAGATCAAGGCATCAGCAGATTTGGTGTCTGGTAAGAGCCCTCTCCCTGGTTAATAGGTGCTCGTTTTCTCCCGGTGTTCTCACACGGCGGGAGAGGTGAGGAAGTGCTCTGTGGTCCCTTATTTCAGGGCGCTAATCCCAGTCATGGCGACTCCACCATCATAACCTAATCACCCAGCGGCCCCACCACCCAATGCCATCACTTTGGGGTGTTAGGGTCTTAACATGAGTTTTGTGGGGGCACAGCCATCCAGTCTATAGCACAGGGACTCCAAAACATTTGTGAGTGATTGTAGCAGCACTATTTACAGTAGCCAAAAGGTGGAAACCGTCCAAATGTCCATCCACAGATGATGGACACACAAAATGCGCTGTCCCCACCCCCTGGAATGCTATTCGGCCGTAAAAAGGAACGAAGCACGAGACGGGCTACGCTGTGCAGGAATCCTGGAAACATCATGCGGAGGGAGAGACCCTAACGGACAAGTACTGCTTCTGCTCATGCGGTCCCTAGAAGAGGCAAGTTCAGGGAGACAGAAAGTAGGATAGAGGTTGCCAGGGGCTGGCAGAGGGACAGTGGGAAGTTACTGCTCAGTGAACACAGTTTCTGTTTGGGGTGGAGAAAATTTGGAACTAGATTGTGGTGATGGTTGCAAAAGACTGTCAGTGTATTAAATGTCACTGAACCATGCAGTTAAAGGGTAAAATGTCAAATGTCATGTTTATTTCCCCACGATGAATAAATATAAAGAGGAGTGAGCGGGTGGTGGGGGACCCAGAGCAGGCCCAGCAGGTGGGCTGTTCCCACGGGGACCTGTTGGAAGGGCCGAGAAGCAGGGGGAGGGGGAAGGTGTGGCCACCAGCCACACCCGGAGCTCCTGCCACTGCTCTGGAAAACACCCACAGGACTTACAAGTCACCAGAGCCTTTGTTGTCTGCTGGCTGGGACCTCCAGCAGAAGCTGGAAAGGGAGTGGCTTCTCTCTCCCTTCTGCCTCCCCCTTACCTGCCTGTGCCTCCTAGGATCCCGCTGGATGGGGAAGGGATCAGAGCTGCCAGGTCCCTGCACTGGGAGGAGGCCCGAGGGGAACGGACAGGACACACGGGCAGAGGAGAGGAGCCTGGCGCTTGGCCCCTGGGCTGCACTGTGCTGCCAGGTGCCCATCCCGCCTGCTCTCCTACAAGAAACACAGCTTGCTCGCTGTCCGAGGAAACTTCACAAGTTTCGCCAGTGGACACCTGGGGCTGAAATCGGGGTCCAGTTACAGTCCACACCCTGAGCTGTGCAGCCTGCACGCCCCGCTCCCCACCCTGTTTGCAGGAAGCCAGAAGTCGGCCTTCCGTCCCACTCGGAGGCTTCAGCGTGGAGCATTTTTCCCGTGAGAA